GTAATCCCAGCTACTTGGGAGGCTGAGGCAGAAGAATCTCTTGAACTCAGGAGGCAGAGGTTGCAGTGAACCGCCAAGATCATGCCGCTGCACTCCAGCCTGAGCGACAGAGCAACAACCTGTCTCAAAAAACAAAAATAAAAAAAATAAAGTCTTGTTTAAATACCTAACTGCAGGGGGGTAAAGGATAAGAGACTACACACTGGGTACAGTGTACACTGCTTGGTAATGAGCGCACCAAAATCTCAGAAATCACCACTAAATAACTTATCTATGTAACCAAAAACCACCTGTTCCCCAAAAACTATTGAAAGGTTTAAAAATAATACCTAATTGCAAAATCTTAAAATAACAAAAATGTAAAAGCAAAATTATCTGCACTTCCATCATTTAATCAAATTGTTTCCAATTCTCCATCTTACCTTCTAATCTTTACACGTATACATGCAATTATTTCATACATGCAATATTATGAAAGTAGTTTGAAAGTCCACCTTTTCACGTCTTATATCATTAGTATTTTTCCATTTCACTTTTTTTTCTTATTCCCACTTCATCCCCTTGAGATAACCAATATTCTACATCTTCTTTACCTTGATTGAATCACCCAATGGTAGGGTACCAGAATAATATTCAAAGCAGAACAATTGGGCCAGGCACAGTGGCTCATGCCTGTAATCCCAGCACTTTGGGAAGCTGAGGCAGGCGGATCACCTGAGGTCAGGAGTTCAAGACCAGCCTGGCCAACATAGTGAAACCCCATCTCTACTAAAAATACAAAAATTAGCCGGGTGTTGGTGATGGACACCTGTAATCCCAGATATTTGGGAGGCTTAGGCAGGAGAATCGCTTGAACCCAGGAGGCAGAGGTTGCAGTGAGCCGAGATAGTGCCACTGCACTCCAGCCTGGGCAACAAAAGTGAAACCCCATCTCTAAATAAATAAATAAATGGCTGGGCGCAGTGGCTCATACCTGCGATCCCAGCACTTTGGGAGGCAGAGGTGGGTGGATCACGAGGTCAGGAGATCGAGACCATCCTGGCTAACAGGGTGAAACCTCGTCTCTACTAAAAATACAAAAAATTATTCAGGCATGGTGGCAGGCGCCTATAGTCCCAGCTACTCAGGAGGCTGAGGCAGGAGAACAGCGTGAGTCCAGGAGGCAGAGCTTGCACTGAGCCGAGGCCATGCCACTGCACTCCAGCCTGGGCAACAGAGTGAGACTCCATCTCATAAATAAATAAATAAATAATAAATAAATAGCAAAACAGGCCTAGATTCACAACTCCTCCACGGATCACAGCAGCAACGCTGTGTGAATTTTCTTTACTTAGCTACTCATGCACATATGTTCTTCATACTATTTTTTTCTTCTCTCCCTCCCGCCCCCCTATATATATAATACCCCAACTCACAACTTCCGCCTTTACTCATAGTTTCAGCTGCCTCATAACTCCTGCTCACACATGGGCCAACACCACCTTTCAATAACATGACATTTCAGCAATTCTACCATCCTCCTCAAACCCCTAATATCTCTTGGCTCTGTTTCTCAAGTTTACCTTTTCATGTCAGACATACTCATGGTCTCATCATCTATGACCTTGCAAGGAGGAAGAAAGGGGGATGTGGTGATATGATCTACAACTGCCCTTTTAACAAAGACAGCGGAAGGGGCATTTTTTTCCTCCCTACGACAGCCTTGGCCATGACTCCCCTCACCGCCAAAGCCACTGCATTCCCTCACAAGGTTCTGCCTTGTTCACACACCTTGTGGGACCTTTGAAAATGTTTACATAGTTAAATGCTCAATTAACTGCTAAGGAGTATACTAAAATTTCACATCTAAAAGCTTTTCTTGAGTCAGCTTCAGTAAGGAGGCAGGAAGAAACAATCCCTGAGTCCGTCAGACACAAAGGTGACTTACTCTAATGGATCCCAGACCTGCCAAGGCGTGGCCCCAGATGGTGCTATTTTCTCACACACGCAGGGCCAAAAATGGACCTCAGAGTCACATGTGCATCTAGGTCCCAGTTCTACTGCTCACTGTGTGATCTTGAAGAGGTCAAAACATTTTTTTTTTTTTTTTTTTTTTTGAGACGGAGTCTTGCCCTGTTGCCCAGGCTGGAGTGCAGTGGCATGATCATGGCTCACGGCAACCTTTGCCTCCCAGGTTCAAGCTATTCTCCTGCTTCAGTTTCCAAAATAGCTGGGATTACAGGTGTGCACCATGACACCTGGCTAATTTTTGTTTAGTAGAGACAGGGTTTCTCCGTGTTGGCCAGCTAGTCTTGAACTCCTGACCTCAGGTGATCCGCCCAACTCAGCCTCCCAAAGTGCTAGGATTACAGGTGTGAGCCACCGTGCCCAGCCAAAATGAGGTAAATTTTTAAGAGACTTCACATAAGTAAGGATTAAAATATTAAATGGAAAACTGAGTTTAGTGTCAATTAAGGATTATGCAATTGCTGGTTTAACTAATTTCCCATTTAGTTTTCAGCCTAGGGAAAAGCCTGTTAACTAAGTAAATGTTCCATTTTCTACCAACAGGAAAACAATCAGCTACAAAATCACCAATGTCTCTTGGATTTCAATCCTTGGTCAACAGTGCCAGATCTACAGAAGCAAAACTAAATTTTTTTTTTTTTTTTTTTTTTTTTTTGAGACGGAGTCTTGCCCTGTTGCCCAGGCTGGAGTGCAGTGGCATGATCATGGCTCACGGCAACCTTTGCCTCCCAGGTTCAAGCTATTCTCCTGCTTCAGTTTCCAAAATAGCTGGGATTACAGGCACCCACTACCACACCTGGCTAATTTTTGTATTTTTAGTAGAGACGGGGTTTCACCGTGTTGGCCAGGCTGGTCTCCAACTCCCGACCTCAGGTGATCCACCCGCCTCAGCCTCCCAAAGTGCTGGGATTACAGGCGTGAGCCACCACGCCCAGCCTGGTCAAAACTTTGAGTCTTGCATTCCTTATCTCTAAAATGAGGTAAAGTTGGGGGTTTTTTTGTTTTGTTTTGTTTTGCAGATGGAGTTTCACTCTTGTTATCCAGGCTGGAGCGCAACGGCGTGATCTTTGCTCACCGAAACCTCTGCCTCCCAGATTCAAGCAATTCTCCGCCTCAGCCTACCGAGTAGCTGGGATTACGGGCATGTGCCACTATGCCTGGATAATTTTGTATTTTTAGTAGAGACGGGGTTTCACCGTGTTGGCCAGGCTGGTCTCCAACTCCCGACCTCAGGTGATCCACCCGCCTCAGCCTCCCAAAGTGCTGGGATTACAGGCGTGAGCCACCACGCCCAGCCTGGTCAAAACTTTGAGTCTTGCATTCCTTATCTCTAAAATGAGGTAAAGTTGGGGGTTTTTTTGTTTTGTTTTGTTTTGCAGATGGAGTTTCACTCTTGTTATCCAGGCTGGAGCGCAACGGCGTGATCTTTGCTCACCGAAACCTCTGCCTCCCAGATTCAAGCAATTCTCCTGCCTCAGCCTCCCAAATAGCTGGGATTACAGGTGTGCACCATGACACCTGGCTAATTTTTGTTTAGTAGAGACAGGGTTTCTCCGTGTTGGCCAGCTAGTCTTGAACTCCTGACCTCAGGTGATCCGCCCAACTCAGCCTCCCAAAGTGCTGGGATTACAGGCGTGAGCCACCACGCCCAGCCTGGTCAAAACTTTGAGTCTTGCATTCCTTATCTCTAAAATGAGGTAAAGTTGGGGGTTTTTTTGTTTTGTTTTGTTTTGCAGATGGAGTTTCACTCTTGTTATCCAGGCTGGAGCGCAACGGCGTGATCTTGGCTCACCGAAACCTCTGCCTCCCAGATTCAAGCAATTACTCCTGCCTCAGCCTCCCGAGTAGCTGGGACTACAGGCGCCCGCCACCTCGCCCGGCTAGTTTTTTGTATTTTTTAGTAGAGACGGGGTTTCACCATGTTAGCCAGGATAGTCTCGATCTCCTGACCTCATGATCCGCCCGTCTCAGCCTCCCAAAGTGCTGGGATTACAGGCTTGAGCCACTGCACCTGGCAATTTTTTTTTCTTTCACAAAGTAGTTTTAAGCCTCCAAGCGTTTGAATCTTTGGGATTACAGGCACCCACTACCACACCTGGCTAATTTTTGTATTTTTAGTAGAGACGGGGTTTCACCGTGTTGGCCAGGCTGGTCTCCAACTCCCGACCTCAGGTGATCCACCCGCCTCAGCCTCCCAAAGTGCTGGGATTACAGGCTTGAGCCACTGCACCTGGCAATTTTTTTTTCTTTCCCCTAAAATGAGGTAAAGTTGGGGGTTTTTTTGTTTTGTTTTGTTTTGCAGATGGAGTTTCACTCTTGTTATCCAGGCTGGAGCGCAACGGCGTGATCTTGGCTCACCGCAACCTCTGCCTCCCAGGTTCAAGCAATTCTCCTGCCTCAGCCTCCCGAGTAGCTGGGACTACAGGCGCCCGCCACCTCGCCCGGCTAGTTTTTTGTATTTTTTAGTAGAGACGGGGTTTCACCATGTTAGCCAGGATAGTCTCGATCTCCTGACCTCATGATCCGCCCGTCTCAGCCTCCCAAAGTGCTGGGATTACAGGCTTGAGCCACTGCACCTGGCAATTTTTTTTTCTTTCACAAAGTAGTTTTAAGCCTCCAAGCGTTTGAATCTTTAAAACGTCATTCAGGGACTTTAAATGAAGGAGTGAAGACTGGGCATGGTGTCTCACACCTGTAATCCCAGCACTTTGGGAGGCTAAGGTGGGTGGATCACTTGAGGCCAGGAATTCGAGACCAGATTGGCCAACGTGGTGAAACCCCGTCTCTACTAAAAACACAAAAAATTAGCTGGGTGTGGTGGCATGCACCTACAGTCCCAGCTACTCGGGAGGCTGAGGCACAAAAATCGCTTAAACCCAGGAGGTGGAGGTTCCAATGAGCCAAGTTTGCGCTACTGCACTCCAGCCTGGCTGACACAGTGAGACTGTCTCCATAAATAAATAAATGGGAAAAAAGCAGACGAAGCATACTAGTTTCTTTTTTTAACCTTTATTTACAAAGAACACAACTCCTCTTGACACAAACATACACATTCCAAGGAGGAGCCCATTAGTAACAACAACAGACTGGGGAGAACGACGGGGCCTTATTGAACACTGTTCAATAAAGAACTAGTCTGTGTACTGCAGACTAGGGGTCACTGAGAACGTTTTCTCAGATACGACTTTTCACCTCCAAGACAGGAAAAGAGATCTTGACGTGGAGGCCCGCCCACCTACAAGGCAGAAAGCTCCACACTCAATCTTCAGCATCGTCAAACTGTCCTGTTTCAAAGACCATCTTGGAATAATGGGGTATCAGTGGAGGCGGATGGTGCCAGCTGGGGTCATAGATCATGTCTCCTTGTGGGGCACAGCACACCCAAGGTTTGAGCTCTTGAGAAATGCTCTCCTGGATGTCGTCAGCATCTGCAGGCAGTTTTAAAAGACAGATTAAGGGAAGGAAGGAGGGAAGGAAGGAAGGTAAAAATGGACAGCCACAAAGTATGTCTAGGGGACAGATCCTTGCACTTATTTTGTTTAAAAACACACACAGTTCTCCTTTCCTGAAGAATTGTAAATGCATTCATTCTGAACAGCTGAGAAGCTGTGCTTCTCAGACAAGGGTTCTTAGCAGTGGAGAGGAAGCAAACTGGATAACACAGCACTTCTATCTGCAGCTGCTCAATTCATAGCAGACATTTTTGAAGACAGTGACAGTTTTGATGTTAAAACAGTGATACATTACGAAGTCAAATGTATTTTTTCAATATAAAAGAGGTGTCACAGAAATTGCAGACCTGTAACAGATACCAGCCTAAGCTCATAGATGTGGACCCCTGTTCCAAACTGTCTGCCTTCAGGGCTAGTCTGACAGGTGTGTCTGAGAAGGCCTGGTTCAGGACCCCCAGAGACTCTACACCTACCATATGGATTCCCTTGATCTGCTTTCAACTCCAAGTCCCAGTCCTCATTAAAAATATCACCAGGCTGTTCCTTGGGTGGACAGTTTGTCCCTTCTGACAGCTCCCAGGTATTCAGTTCTCCATCAGAGTCCTCCTCATCCATGGCAAAACCTTCCTCTTCAGAATGGGTGCCCTCACCCCGGGCAGGACTGTCATTAGGGACGCTCTGTGCTCCACGGGCTAAATCGACAAAGAGAAGATGGCCTTAGTGACAAACCAAAGAGGACCTGCTGTGTGCTCAGTCAATCTTGGGCAGACTTACTAGGAAGGTAGTGAAGCAAGTGCACAGAGTCTTCTTTAGCCACCTGAGCACTTTTTTAAAAATGCTCTTCTGTGTATGTTTTTAAAAGACCTGATAACTTATTTTCAATAAGATGTTTTGTCTTATACAAGACCATTAATTGCCAGGTCCTTTAATTTACAAAGAGAGCTAGGGACAGTTAACATTTTCAGGTGGTTTGCATGTCTGTCACTGAGGCAAAGGGCCTCTGATAAATAATACGCTTTCACAATACAAGCTTGAATTAAGTTTTTGCTTTTTTTTTTTTTTTTTTTTTTGATTTTTTGAGACAGTCTCACTCTGTAGCCCAGGTTGGAGTGCAGTGGCGCCATCTCAGCTCACTGCAACCTCTACCTCCCAGGTTCACGCAATTATCTGCCTCGGCCTCCTGAGAAGCTGGGATTACAGGTGCCCGCCACCATGCCCAGTTAATTTTTTTGTATTTTTAGTAGAGATGGGGTTTCACCATCTTGGCCAGGCTGGTCTTGAACTCCTGACCTTGTGATCCATCCGCCTCAGCCTCCCAAAGTGCTGGGATTACAGACGTAAGCCACCGCGCCCAGCAGTTTTTGCTCTTTTATTCCTCCCTTCAGCCTCAAAGAGCATGTTAGAGGTGAGCACAGGGACAAAGGAGAGCAGGGGCACTGCAGACAGACCAGAGCCTGTCTAGTTACAATGGGCAGCACCTAGTGCCTCCTTCTGACAGTGGGGAGGCTGGAAGGTACATTTGCAAAAGGTCTCACAATAAGAGAGGAAAAACTGGGGAAAGATAATGGATTTCCGAGCACAGTGCTTTGGTGATGCCAGGTCCCAGGAGAGAAGGCAATCAGCCTAAAACACCCATGCTCTTAATACTGGAACAACAGTAACAGTGATAAGCAATAAAGTGATAGTTCAGAGCAAGGGGTCTAAAGCCAGACTGCCTGGTTTCAAATCCCTGTTTTGCCAAGTACTAAACATGGGACTGGGCAGGGCGCGGTAGCTCACCCCTGTAAACCTAGCACTTTGGGAGGCCGAGGCAAGCAGATTGCTTGAGCTCAGAAGTTCAAGACCAGCCTGAACAATGTGGCAAAACCTTGTCTCTACAAAAACTTCAAAAAATTTAGCTGGGTGCAGTGGCATTCACCTGTAATCCCAGCTACTCAGGAGGCTGAGGTGGGAGGATCGCTTGAGCCTGGGAGGCAGAGGCTGCAGTGAGCCAAGATTGTGCCATTGCACAGAGTGAGACCCTGTCTCAAACAAACAAAAAAAAAGTGTGACTGAGCTGAAATTTACTTAACTAGTTCCATAACATAAATACAGAATTACCATATGACCCAGCAATCCCAGTCCTAAACATATACCCAAAAGAACTGAAAAGAGGTGTTCAAATAAAACAAGGATACTGACAGCAGCACTACTTACAATCACCAACAGGGAGAAACAACACAAATGTCCATCAATGGATGAATGGGAAAACAAAATGTGGTATATGCGTATGATGGAATTATTCAGCCATAAAAAGGAATGCAGTGCTGATACATGCTATGGCATGGATGCACCTTGAAAATACGCTAAGTGGAAGAAGCCATACACAAAAGGCACATGTTGTTATGATTCCATTTACAGGCAACTCACATTTGCCTATCCAGAACAGATAAATCCACAGAGACAGAAAGCAAATTAGTGGTTGCCAAGAACTCAGGGAAGGAAGGAATGGAGAATGACTACTTGGTGAGCACAGGGTTTCCTTTTAGGGTGATGAAAAGATTCTGGAACTAGGTACTGGTGATGGTTGCACAACACTGCCATTGTGCTAAAAGGCCACTGAATTATATGCTGTAAAATGGTTAAATGGTAAATTTATGTTAGGTATCTTTTACCACAATTTTTAAATTGTTTTTATTTAACTATTCTGTGCCTCAATTTCCACATCTGTAAAATGAAGATAGGGTTGTTGTGAGAGTTACTTTAAAAGGAAAAAAAAGGGCCAGGCGTGGTGGCTCACACCTGTAATCTCAACACTTTGGGAGGCCGAGGTGGGCAGATCACCTGAGGTCAGGAGTTCGAGACCAGCCTGGCCAACACAGTGAAAGCCCCTCTCCACTAAAAATACAAAAATTAGGCTGGGCGTGGTGGCTCACGCCTGTAGTCCCAGCACTTTGGGAGGTCAAGGCAGGCAGATCACAAGGTCAGGAGATCGAGACCATCCTGAAACCCTGTCTCTACTAAAAACACAAAAAATTAGCCAGGCATGGTGGCAGGTGCCTGTGGTTCCAGCTACTCGGGAGGCTGAGGCAGGAGAATGGCATGAACCTGGGAGGCGGAGCTTGCAGTGAGCCGAGATCGCACCACTGCCTGGGAGACAGAGCGAGACTCTGTCTCAAACAATAAATAAACAAATACAAAAATTAGCCAGGCACCGTTGTGCGCGCCTGTAATCTCAGCTACTCAGGAGGCTGAGGCACGAGAATCACTTGAACCCAGGAGACGGAGGTTGCAGTGAGCCTGGGTGACAGAGTGAGACTCCATCTCAAAAAAAAAAAAACAAAAAAAAAAGAAAAAAAAAGGGGCCACACGGCAGCTCACACCTGTAATCCCAGCACTTTGAGAGGCTGAGGCAGATGGGTCACGTGAGGTCAGGAGCTCAAGACCAGCCTGGCCAACATGGTGAAACCCCATCTCTACTAAAAATACAAAAATCAGCCGGGCATGGTGGCATATGCCTGTAATCCAGCTACTTGGGAGGCTGAGGCAGGAGAATGCTTGAATCCAGGAGGTAGAGACTGTAGTGAGCCAAGATTGTGCCACTGTGCTCCAGCCTGGGCAACAAGAGCGAAACTCCCTCTCAAAAAAAAAAAAAAAAAAAAGGCAGGGGGCCGGGCACAGTGGCTCATGCCTGTAATCCCAGCACTTTGGGAGGCCTAGGTGGGCGGATCACTTGAGATCAGGAGTTCTAGACCAGCCTGGACAACATGGTGAAACCCCATAGCTACTAAAAATACAAAAATTAGCTGGGTGTGGTGGCACATGCCTGTAGTTCCAGCTACTTGGGAGGCTGAGGCAGGAGAATTGCTTTATTGCAGTGAGCTGAGATTGTGCCACTGTACTCCAGCCTGGTGACAGAGCAAGACTCCATTTCAAAAAAAAAAGATATTTTGAGAGAGAACACATTCACATAACTTTCAGTATATTGGCATAATTGTTCTACATTAATATGGTTATTAATCACATATGCATATTTTATAAATTAAACTGTATCAGAAATAGTATATATAGGGGAAAAAAAAGCAGTTTCAGCATCCACTGGGGGGGGGATCTTAGAATGTATCCCCTAGGAATAAGGGGAGACTGCTGTACTATTTTCACTGTTTCAAGCTGTTTCTTTCGGTAGAAGGATGGGTTTGAACGTAAGGAAAGTCCCAGGACTTCCCTTAAGGAAGCTCCAAGCAAGGCTTCCAAAGGAGGGTACTATTCAACCCTGGGCAGAGGCCACCAAGCAGCAGAGAGGACTGGCTAAAATAAAAGGTAAATGAGACAGAGGGACTATCCCTCTCCTCACGTCCTTGGTCTCCCCAGCTTCCACCGTCTCTGCCATCTACTTGCCTAGTCGATCCATAGCCTTCTCAGTCTCTCTCTCCTGACTGGAGTGGTCAGCTGTAGCAAAGCCAGCCTGCAGGAAGAAGAAACGATTACCAAGGACTTGGGTATCTGGGGTATGCCCAGTATTCAGCTATTGCACCTCAACCCCACCCATTCTTCCATACTCCCCTTGGTGATGCAGGGCTGGGACTCTGCCACCCACATTTCTGCTTTGCCCTGTTAAACTGCGCAAGGCTGGAAGGAGACGGACTATTCCTTCCTATTCACGTTGGCATCACCTTATGACACTTCACCATGGCAGCAGGAATGCCTTCCTATAGCGGCCACAGAATCCAGTATACAGTTCTGTGAACTCTTGCAGAGCCAGCCTTATCACTGCACCTTCTCTTTAGAGGTCTGGCTCCCAGGACTCTCCTCCAAGCTCAGAGACCCCCTACATCAGCTGAGGCAGTGCCTCCTCCTTAAAGGTTGGAATTTCAGCTCTACAGAGCCTTTCCTCTAAGCTTTTAAATTTTAATCAACTTCATCTCTTTGTTCCTCCAGCCATAGGTTGGTAGCTCTTCCCTGCGGTTGCCACCCCCAGGTATACGTTTTACCTTTTCAGTTACTTAACAACTTTATAGTTAGCAAACAACTCTATCGAATTCTGTTTCCTCACCGACACATTGAGGTGGGGGAAGCTTTATAGCTCCTCTGCAATGCTGAGCACTGAAGGCAGTATTTCTAATCTAACTGAAAATCTTCCCGCACGGCCAACCAAATGCTTCTCTGCTCCTATCACTCAGAAGTTCCTGAAACCCTATGACCTCCAAGACTTCTTTCTAATGAATCACGAAATGTTCCCTGCCTGCATAAAAAGACTTGATTTTGATCCCAGCTCTGCCATCCATTTAGACTGTGACCTTGAACACATCACTTCAATTACCGTGCCTGAGTTTTCTTCTCCAGAAATTGGGGGTGACTGTTCTGACCCTGCAGGGGACTTATGATGAGATACCATTTATGAAAACACCTGGCATGTGGCAAGAATGTAACATTTCTTGAATTTAAATTCATCTTTTCTGCTACATCTAAACTGCACTTGGCACCTGCTCCAATCAGCATTCATTATCTAGTTATGTCATGTCTGGGTTTAATAATTCAATTCCACTCCCTTTAGTGACAACTTCTGATCACTGCCGCCCAAGGAGAATTCAGACCTCTCGCCTAAACCACTGCCACAGCCTCCTAACCACCTTCCCATCCAGCCATCTGGCCCAGCCTTACAGAATTAATCACTACTCTGCTCTAAATCTTCAGCAGCCCTCCACCGAGGGAGCGCAAAATTAGCCATGGCATTCGCACGTCCCCACGTCCCCAACTCCCATCAACCTGTTGAGCATAGTTCTCTGCATGCTCTGAGACCCAACTCCAGGTCATGTGCCCTGCACTTTCTCATCTCCACGCCTCTGCAGACACCACCAGCCTCTCACCTTGATCCTTTCCTGCTATGCCCAGACAAAATTAGTCCCATTCTATTCTGCACCACAAAGTAATTTTCTATATAAGTGTCGCTGCATTTTTCATATCTTACTTTGGCTAAGTACCATCTTTGAGGCATCATTCATCCAGTCAGCATGTCTATCTCCTTTGCCAGGCACTATGCTAGGCTGGGCAAACAGCCCTAACAGAGGGTTCCTACCTCAGCACCTAGCCGGTACTGACAGTAAACAAGGGCAGGTAATGACTGTAATAACGGTCTGTAACGTTCTCGAGAAAAACGGGTGCTGTTTAGCGTACATGAAAACAAGTATCTGGAAACCCTGCGTCAAACAGGGCCTTTTTGGTTCCAATAAGGAGAAGGGGGAGTGCGCATGTGACATCATCTGGGGTTCAGGGTTAGCGGGCATCCCCACCAACGCACAGAGGTCCACAGGTCTGTAAAGTCAAGTCCCTCTCCTCGCCGCTCTCACCTGGCCCTCGCCCAGGCTCCTGGCAGCGGGCCCCGGCTCTCGGTCACCAGCGTCACCTCCCATTTACCAAATTCGCAGCGGCGCCCAGCGAGCGGACAGCCTTCCCCACTGACCCGGCGCGCCCACCCACGCCCTCGGCGTTCCCCGCCCCGCACTGGCAGTTTTGAGCTCGAGCGCGAGGCCAAACAGCGCTCCAGGTCGCGGGGCGGCCCGAGGCCGGCCAGAGGCGCTTCCCCGGCCCCGCGGCCCCCGCCCAGCCCGGCCCGGCGACTTCCCGCCCCAGGATGCGGCTGGTTGTTGCTCCCGGCCCCCACGCGGCGCTTACCTCCGGGCTGGGGGGCGCCTCCTGCGCGCTAGGCAGCGGCGGGCCCCGAGACGGCTCCGCGGCCCGCCGTGCCTGGGCCCTGGCGGCCTGAGGGTCCATGCCCGGCTGCCCGCGGCTCGGCGCCCTGGACGCCGTGGGCCACGTGACGCGCGCCTGTCGGCCGCCAGCCCGAAGATCCGCCGCCTAGGGGCCAATCAGCCTGGGGAGGGTCCCGACCAAGAGGGCGGGGCGCCGGGGGGGTCACGAGGAAGCGGGGGCGGTGCGGCGCAGGGGGTGGGGCGTGCGGCCTCGCGGAGCCCGCCCCTGCCTGCCAGCGCGAAATCTGAAACAATCTTGGGGACTGATTTTGGTGCAGATCCCAAGCCTGGACGACTAGCTGGGTGTGAAACGCCAAGCGTACCCTACGCAGCCACTCGGGGTGTGCTCCAGCTTCAAAACCCCGCGTGGGTAAGACACATCAGCAAGTTAGTGACCTCCACCTTGAGATAATGATCGTCTTTGAAGATAATCCATTAGAGAAACCAGGATAAGACACAAACTGCAATGTGCGGTGGACACAGAATAGAGGCCACGACGCTTACTCATAATAATCCTGAACATTCGGGTTCCTGTATTTCCATGCTCAACGCCTGATACTCAGCAACCTAATTATTTCCCATTTTGCCTCGATAGGTGGCTTTTGGGGATAGGCAGGGCCTGAGCTGGGAACAACCCAATTGGAAAGACAGCCTTCCCTGCCTTCCCCACAGTGCCTAACTTCTAATAACAAATCAGCTCAAGGCGTGCTAATCATGTCAACATCAGGACATGAGACCCTCTTCCTTCATCCCCCTCAAAGACTGTGTTGTTTGTATAACACAAAAGGCATTTGAAAAAATTTAGCATAAAACTGACACACAATATTCGATATTATTATTTTTCTCTCTGTAGATGTTCCTACGCAGGAGTCAGTATCCCCAAGGCTAACTGCTTCTAGGTCAGCAGTGTCCAATAGAACCTTCGTTAATGGGCCGGGCGCGGTGGCTCAAGCCTGTAAGCCCAGCACTTTGGGAGGCCGAGACGGGCGGATCACGAGGTCAGGAGATTGGGACCATCCTGGCTAACATGGTGAAACCCCGTCTCTACTAAAAAATATTTTTAAAAAAACCTAGCCGGGCGAGGTGGCGGGCGTCTGTAGTCCCAGCTACTCGGGAGGCTGAGGCAGGAGAATGGCGTGAACCCGGGAGGCGGAGCTTGCAGTGAGCTGAGATCCGGCCACTGCACTCCAGTCTGGGCGACAAAAGCGAGACTCTGTCTCAACAACAACAACAAAAAAAAGAACCTTCGTTAATGGTGAAAAGTTCTACTATCTGTGCTGTCCAATATACCATATTGGACATAAACCTACTGAGCATATGTAACCATATACCTACCTACTCAGTAACCATATACCTACTGAGCACTTAAAATGTGGCCAATATGAATAAATTGAATAATTCTAATAAATTTAAATTGCTACATCTGCCTAGGAGCTACTGTTTCTAACAGTGCAACTCTAGGTGTACTAGCTAGATGCGTTTTCATAACCTGCAATAGTGAGAATCAGATACAGGGATGTGATGAGCCCAGGTGACCACTTTTATATAGCTTTGTGTTAAGGAGACTACCACTATCCTCTTTGCTCCCTACTCTATTTACAACACATATCTCTTTTGTAAAATTAAAGTGCCAAATAAGATTTAGAAGGTTAAACATCCCAGGACTTAAGGGACAGGAAAAAGAGGAATTTTTTTCTTATTTTAAAACAAATGACAAGAAAACAGGCTGGCCGCGGTGGCTCACTCCTGTAATCTCAGCACTTTGGGAGGCTGAGGCAGGCGTATTACTTGAGGTCAGTTCAAGGCTATCCTGGCCAACATGGTGAAACCCCGTCTCTACCAAAAATACAAAAATTAGCCAGGCGTGGTGGCGCACACCTACAATCTCAGCTACTCGGGAGGCTGAGGCAGGAGAAACCCTTGAGCCCAGGAGGTGGAGGTTGCAGTGAGCAGAGATTGTCCCACAGCACTCCACTCTGGGAGACAGAGTGAGACTTGGTCAAAAAAAAAACAAAAAACAAAACAAAAAAAAACACACACACACAAAAAGAAAAACAGTACAAAAGCTCAAAATAAAAATATTCTAAAGTAGACTCTAATACTCATAGAAATTTAACATATAATAAAGGTAACATCACAAATCAGCAGAGAGAAACGTAACTGGCCAAATAGTGTTGGAAAAATTAATTAACTGCTTGGGGAAAAAGAGTCTTCTCAGCACCAGGAAGAGCTTTCAAAGCATTGTAAAAACAAGTATCTCACACACACACACACACACACACACACACACACACACAAAATACCTCTGGGCATCAAAAATTGCCACAAAAGGTGGGCGCTTATATAATCCCAGCTACTTGGGAGGCTGAGGCAGGGAGAACTGCTTGAACCTAGGAGGCAGAGGTTGCAGTAAGATCATACCACTGCACTCCAGCCTGGGCCACAGAGCAAGACTCTGTCTCAATTTAAAAAAAAAAAAAAAAAATTGCCACAAGAAAAGCTGGGGGTAAAATTATTTGCAACAAATTAGAAACAAGATATTAATATACTTAACATGTTTTTAAAAACTCTGCCCAGGCACAATGGCTCATGCCTGTAATACCAGTACTTTGGGAGGCTGAGGTAGGATTGCTTGAGGCCAACCCTTTTAAGAGACCAGCCCTGGCAACATAGTGAGACCAGTCTCTACAAAAAATTTTTTTAATTAACCAGGCGTGGTGGTGTGTGCCTATAGTCCCAGCTACTCAGGAGGCTGAGGCAGGAGGATCTCTTGAGCCCAGAATTTAAGGCTGTAGTGAGCCATGATCACACCACTGCACTGTAGCCTAGATGACAGAGCAAGACCTTGTCCAATTAAAAAAAAAAAAAATGAACTCATAAATTAGTAAGAAAAAAGTGTTTAAAATAGTCTAAGGATGTAAAAAGATGAGAAACATAAAATACACTAACTTCACTAATATCAAAGAAAAGTATGTTGAAACATTTCACCTATAAAATGGTAAAAATAAAAAATATAATTACACCAGTACAGGTAATGGTATTGACACTTTCATCTATTGCTTGAAAGAAGGAGCAAACCAGCAATACATATCAATATTCTCTAAAAGCAGTATCCTTTGATCCAGTAATTCCACTGTCAGATGTCAATCTCCTAAGGAAAAAGCTAGGGATGTGAACAAAGATTGACAAGAATCTTCATCAACAGCATTTATATAATTTTTTTAAAAATTAGAAATGACAGTCTAGGCCGCGCTCAGTGGCTCACGCCTGTAATTCCAACACTTTGGGAGACCAAGACGGATGGATCATGAGGTCAGGAGTTCGCAACCAGCCTGGCCAATATGGTGAAACCCCCTCTCTACTAAAAATACAAAAATTAGCTGGGTGTGGTGGCGGGTGCCTGTAGTCCCACCCAGCTGCTCGGGAGGCTGAGCCAGAACCACTTGAACCCAGGAGGTGGAGGCTGCAGTGAGCCGAGATAGGGCCACTGCACTCCAGCCTGGGCAACAGAGCAAGATTCCATCTCAAACAAACAAACAAAAAAAGACAGTCCAACCAGAGGATTAGTAAAATACATTATGGCTTATTTTTACAATGTAATGTTATGAATTCATTAAATGTTTTTAAGGCTATTTAATGACACAGAAAAACAATACTAAGTGAAACTAACAATAAGCCACACTGAAAGCTTCTCCCAGTGACATGGTATTAAGCTACAGGATACAATTCAAACAGTTATATCCTGCTCCTGGAATGTTTTTATTTTTTTGCTCCAAGCCTGCCTTTCACTCCTCACTGCTAAGGCTTCTCTGCACTTGAATCTACTCCCTACCCCTTACCTTCTTTTGTTGGTGGATCGCCTCAATTGCAAACACTTCTCTGATCATCAGTTCCAGAAGACAGAAGACACTTTTTTATGGTTTTCACCTTCTTGAAGGACAAATTTTCCCAATATCCAGCAATTCCTTTGCTGCTGATCCAATCAACTTTCTTAGGACATTCAGCTGTTTCTGCAACCCCCATTTCTATCCCCAAAGGCCTCCCTTCTTTCCTGCACATAATGGGCACTCAAATATTTCTTGAATGAATGAATGGGTAAATAACCTAAGAGTATAAATCCAATTCTGATAAAGGAAATCAAATTACTAAGTTTAACTCTAGATTACAGGATGCTTTGATTTTTTTTGCCACACTATTCTATTTCCTCCATATTTTCCAGAACAAATGCATACCACGTATCTTTTACAATGAGAATAAACTAACAAAACTGTACCTTCTCCTTTTTTTTCTCGAGAAGGAGTTTTGCTCTTCTTGCCCAGGCTGGAGTGCAATGGCGTGATCTCAGCTCACTGCAACCTCCGCCTCCCAGGTTCAAGCGATTCTCCTGCCTCAGCCTCCCAAGTAGCTGGGATTACAGGCGTCCAACACCACGCCCGGCTATTTTTTGTATTTTCTGTAGAGATGGGGTTTCACCACGTTGGCCAGGCTGGTCTCAAAATCCTGACCTCAGATGATTTGCCTGCCTCAGCCTTCCCAAAGTGCTGGGATTACAGGTGTGAGCCACCACGCCCGGCCACTTTCTCCTTCATTTTAACTGGCTCTTAAATCGAGATTAGAGATATTAGTGCTTGACCCCAGATAATTAAAAAAAAAAAAAAAAAGTCGTATGCTTTCCATATATTTTGGGGAACATTTAGGACCTGTGGTAGATCGGGCCTCAACATTAAATCAGCAGTTCTCTTTCCCAGAATCAGATATTAGCACATCAAGCTGAGCACGGTGTCATACACCTATAATTTCAGCTACTCAGGAGTCTGAGGTAAGAAGGTCACTTGAGTCCAGGAGGTCAAGACCAGCCAGGGCAACAGAGCAAGATCCTGTCTCAATCATAAAAAATTTTTAATTTTTAAAAAAGATTAACAAGTTAACATAAAATAAAGTGTGTCTCAAAACCAGACAGCCATCTTGTCTGCCATCACTGAGCAAATTACAGATGGACTCATAATACAAATTTGCCCCCAGGGCTTGCTTGCAATACAGTTTCACAAAGCAGGCTGTATTCTTCCTCTTCACAAATGGCCAGTCTGATGCATAGCATGTT